TAATGAAAAAATTATGATTTTCTTGTAAAGACGAAGTTGCATGCAATTAAGGTAACTAAAAAATGTATATTTTAACTCTTCAATAAGTTCATAATAAACTTCATACAAAATAAATTCCTTTGCAGGGCTCGGTACAACTCAATTCTTACAATAACAAGTAATTTTTAAGCAAAAAACACAACCGACTTCAATTCTAATATAAAAATTTAGAAGTACCGTTAATTTCTTCATGATTCAATGATCGGATCTAAACCAAATAAGTACGGGACCTCCCCTGAGGCACCAGAAAAAGAATTATCGAAATCGGTTAATGTGGTCCAAAGTTATGCGGTAACATACATAAAAAAAATTCCGATGAATTGATAACCTCTTCTTTTTTTTGAAGTCGGTTAAAAAGTGAAAAATTAATGACGTAAATTATTATAAATTTTTAATAGCTATATTTTAACATATCTAATAAAATTTACATTAAAAAATCTCAGCGCCTAAAATTCGCGCGATTTTTTATTAAAAATTTTCGCCTGCGCCGCTTGTTTTTTTTTTTTTTTGTGAGAAGTTAATCAAGTTTTATTATAAAATGTTTGCAATAGGCCGCAGGACCAATATCGAAGACACATCGATAACAAGATACATTCTGAATGGTCTAAGTAAAGATAGTCTGCATACCACATTAAGCGCCATGAAGTTTACAAAGAGTGGGTATTTGCTGCAATTGCTGTCAAATAAACCGACAAATATAGAGAATAGAAATAGAATGAGTGAAACGAACTACAAGAATGCTCAACAGCAATCATCACACGTCTCGGTTGATGCGAATAAGAATTTTAAAAGCTTAGTTGGTCCAATTTGTTATAATTGTAGAGAAAAGGGCACATCGCAAGAAATTGTGGCAAAGCGAAGAGGAAATTTGAAGCAAACAAAACGATCGCATTAACCAGGGCATGAATCACGTAACTTTGAAACGATAGTCTTTCAAACGATACTGACAAAACAATTTCGTCAAAGCACTGATTCATGTATTTGTGTTGCTGTTACGTGTTACTGTTACTCTTACGTGAAGCGAAATTGGAATCAAGTTGATGATATCGCACAAACGATCAAACAATTTTTGGTTTTCTTGAAGCAAGACAATCTCAACACGATATCGTCCAGACGATTGTAGTCATACGTGATTCATGCCCAGATAACGCGTGATGAATGTGAAGAAAATGTAGAATATGGAAAAAATAGAAAACGAAACGTCACACATAGGAGTATTTGAACGATCTAGGCGGCAATAAAAATTATTTGACAAAATTTGTAGGAAACGTTAGCATTAGTTCCTTTCACTTTCCCAAGTTGGACAGCGAACGTTCGCCGTTGACCGTAAACAGAATATTCTAACGCGGCTTATAAATAAATTTTCGCTCTCAAGAAAGATCGTGACGGTTTTAAGTTAATATATTGCTTTCTGCGTTGTATTCTTAAACAGTGTTAATTTTTTTTAATCATAATAGCGGTTTTCAACCAGTATTTTTATTTTTTAATTATTATTTTTTTTTAATGTTAAGAAATTTGTTATATCCCCGGCATAGATCGCGTTTTTATTCTTTATTCAATTGAAAGCTTAGAAATTTGGCTAATGTAGTGCGAAAAGATTGCCGGCAGAAAACGGCAGGTAAGTGGTATTTCTTTACTTGTAAAATGTATTCAAGTAAAATCTCACAACGCAACTACTTTAGAGCTATTTTATCACTAAAATTAAACTTTTTAGATGAACTTGAGGCTGCTGAACCAGAATATTAATCTATTTAATTATTGTTGAATTTATATTTTTATGGCAACTCCGATATTCTTTCTACAGACATTTTTGATTCATGAATTCATTTTATCTACCCTTTTTTCTTTTTTTTGTAACTGCTAAGTCTAAGTCTGAATAAAACTTTTGCAACGTTCTATCTGACTTGCGAATTCTAACAGGTTATGGACCAAGTCCTTCACTAAAGTACATAGATACGCTTAAAATGAATCCCAATTTGTTTAATGTAGAAAAGTTGGACGAATCCAACTACGATGCTTGGTGCGTTCAAGTAAAAAGTATACTTATATACAAGGATCTCTGGGATGTGGTGTCAGGTGAACTTAAACAACCAAAGGCCGAAGATAACGACGTAAGCAAGCTGATGGCGTGGAACTCAGCCGACGAGAAGGCCGTTGTAACCATAATACTGTGTGTAATGCCTATGCAAATTGCCTACGTGAAGCTGTGCAAAACAGCAAAAGAGGCATGGAGCGTGTTGCAAGATATACATCGACCAAAAGGCCCCCCTCCCCTCCCAAAAAAGGTTTCATTATTTAAGCAGCTACTGGGAATGCGAATGGCAGAAGGTGATCAGGTGCCAAAATACCTATGGAATTTTTCAACTATTCTTAAGAAGATAGCAGAAATTGGCGTGGACGTTCAGGAGGAGCTATTTGTGATAATGCTCCTCGCCAGCCTTCCCAAGTCTTCCGAGAACTTAGTCGTCGGTTAGAGTCACGTGAAGAGCTACCAAAGCTAAGTGCCTTAAAGATTAAGTTGCTCGAGGAGGAACAACGCCATAAAGTGTGCGAACCGCCTATTGCTGAATGTAGCGCACAAGTGTTTATGGCACATGGGTCAAACGGTGGAAACAAATCAGCAAGCGAAAGCAAACCTGCTAAAAAGTCGACCGAACTTGAAATGTTTTAACTGTGGACGAAACGACCATTTTGCTGCCCAATGCAAAAACAAAAAGCGGGAACAGAAGCTTGAAGAGAAATCTGCAGAAAACCCTAAAGCATTCTCAGTGTTCTCAACGTTTGAGTTAAATACACTCCAACCGAATGTATGGTGTATTGATAGTGGAGCATCGTCGCATATGTGCTGCGATCGCAACATGTTCCACGAATTCGAAGAATAAATATGAAGAAAAAATTTTACTACCTGGCGACAAGCGTATAGAAGCAAAGGGCAAAGAAATAGTTCAATTCAAAGCAGATTGAAAAAATTCAGCTGAACGACGTGTTGTATGTGCCTGTGTTACAATGCAATTTTCTTTCGGTGTCGAAAGCAGCAAGCAGTGGTCTTTTTGTTAAATTCACAAGTGAATTTGCTACAATCTACGAGAACGGCAGCAGGATATTGCGTGGAAGTAATATTGGTGGTATCTTTTTGTGCGAAATAAATAAGAATATGTTATTCTTTACAGGGCAATCGAATGAAGCAATGAAATGGCATGCCTGATATGGCTATTTGAGCTATGGTAGCATGCGCCAACTTATAAACAAGAATTTAGTGAATGCACTTCAACTGTGTGTGCCAAAAGATATCACTTGTAATGTACGCATGCAAAGCAAATGTACAAAAAAAAAACCTTTACACCAACTACGAATCGAGCGAGCGAATTACTTGAATTGGTACACACAGACGTGTGTGGACCAGTTAAACGGTCGGCTGGTGGTTCACAATACATATTGACATTCATAGATGACAAGTCACGATATGCATTTGTCTATTTACTCAAGAATGAGAAAGAAGTTTTTGAGAGGTTTAAGGAATTTAAAATTCTGGCAGAATGCCAAACTGGGTGTCTAATAAAAACCATTGGAAGTGGCAACGGCACTGAATATGCCAATAACGCGTTTCAGCAATACTTCAAAGACTGGAATTTTACACCAATTCACGGTGCCATATACCCCGCCGCAAAATGGGGTAGCTGAGCGTTTTAACCGCACTTTAGTTGAGATGGCGCGCTGCATGCTCGTTAGTGCAAACTTGAATGAGACGTTGTGGGCAGAAGCTATCAATACTGCAGCCTACTTGCGGAACAGGTCACCAACGAAGCCGCTTGATGAGAAGACCCCATATGAGGCATTGCATAAAAGAAAGTCAGTTGTGTCACATCTAAGAACATTCGGTTCAACAGCATATGCTCCAGACAAAAAACCTAAAAGTAAGTTTCAAGCTAAAGCCAAAAACTATGTGCTGGTTGGTTACGGAACCGCAACAAAGGGTTGTCGTTTGTATGATCCGGTGACAAGAGGGATTAGTGTGAGTCGCGATGTATCATTTATTGAGCCTAATATTTCGAAAGAATGTGCTGTTGTTGTGGTAGACATTTTAGAAGGAAATAAAGCGCAAGTGGATGATGAGTGTATTGTTAACGATTCAGAAAGCCACTATGAATCTGCGCAAGAAGAAAACGAAGAAAAATCTGAAGAAGACCGAAGAAGGCGTATAAATTTCTGAACTTGCTTCGTGAGGTTGATGTTCCAGATACTGTGGAACAAGCGATGTCCAGTGAACACGTAAAAATCGTAAAATGCAAATGGGTGTTTGCTGTGAAGAAAAACAAAAACGGTGAGATCGATCGATTCAAGGCGAGGCTGGTGGCTAAAGGATGCAGTCAGGCGTATGGGGTGAACTATACCGACTCATTTTCACCTGTTGTGCAGTACGCTACAATCCGCATTATATTCGCACTAGCTTCGGAGTACGAATTATACCTACATCATGTTGATGTATCATCTGCATTTTTGAATGTTACCATAGACGACGAAATATATATGTGGAGCACCCTGTGCAAACATTTTTACATTTATCACATTTTTGACATTCTCATTTATGATGTACCCATTTTTGATAAGCTTGCAGTTAGTTGAGCTGAACATTTTTATTCATTCGCTTTTTGTGCCTGCAAACCGTATATCGCGCGCTCATTTTTATATTGTAAAATTTGAAGACTAACCCTTTGAACATGATACAAATATTTTGAGATTCAATAAAAGGAACATCTTTTTATTTGCTGTAAGATCGTGTATTTAATAACGTTCGATTGGGTAAGAACCCCACGTTACACAGTAGCGAAGCAATAAAGCTACACTGGTGACCACCACGTTTGCCGACTCACGACACGCAGACGACAGCCCTACCGTTGGGCCGCTACGAGCCCCGTTATAAGAATCACGCGTTTTTCTGAGAAATTTTCAGAATCGACAAAATGCCTTCTGATAGCGGTATATCTTTGCCGCCAGCGGATAGTCCACAACAACACAACCGGAATACGAGTGGGGAAGCACAACCAAATGAACGACAGGCCTCAGTTATCTATGCTCGGCTGCCTGTTCCTGCAATGTCCAGTTCCAACATAGAGGCGTGGTTTACGTCGATGGACTTTTGGTTCACCGCCTCCGGAATCACATCGGACAAACAAAAAGCAGCGACGGTATTTGCAGCATTGGACCCCACCGTTATTAGCCAGTTGGCCCAAGTCATCGCCGAAATGCCACAAAACGACAAATTCGAGTACGTCAAAACCAAAATTATAGAGCATTTCGCAGATAGCGAGCAAAGACGTCTAAATAGACTACTATCAGAGCTGCCGCTTGGTGATAGGAAACCTTCGGAGCTGTACTTCGAGATGAAACGAGTTGCAGGTACTACCTTGGGAGAAGCTGCTCTCAAGGGACTTTGGACAAAGCGTCTACCAGAATTCGCGCAACCGGTTATCGCCGCATCCTCGGGCACAGCATCAGAGTTCACAAAGATAGCCGACTCAATCATCGATGCTGTTAGTCCTCATCTAGTGTCGCAGGTGAGAAAGGAGGCAGCAGAGATAAGTCAACTCCGTTCAGCTATAGAAGACTTGTCCAAGCGATTCGAAAGATTCAACTTGCGCTCTCGCTCGCATTCTCGCTCACGGTCTCGACCAATAGCTACCACCTATCATAATGCGCAAAGCGCAAATCGACCACCTGATGTTAGAGACGGAAGCGCATCATCCCCCAACATAGAGTGCTGGTATCATCAGAAGTACGGCACTAATGCGCGTAAGTGCCGCAGCCCTTGTCGACGCCGACATCGAGCAATTCAAGCGATAACAGACAAGCAAAATTGACTAGAAAAGCCCGTGGCAAAATTTACCGAAAATTTTGTCACAGAACACTCAGTTTTTCGCCTCCAGGTAAGAGATAAAACATCGAATACAATTTTCCTCATCGATACGGGAGCAGACGTATCTATTCTCCCGCTCACAACGTTATCATACGACATTCGCCCATCCGCTATGAAGTTATACGCAGCAAACGGTGCTGCGATTAAAGTACTTGGGGAAAAACGCATTAAACTAGACCTTGGCCTTCGCCGCGAATTTGTTTGGTCATTCCTGGTCGCAGACGTCACACAACCTATTATTGGCGCAGATTTCATCAAATTTTATGATTTGCTTATCGATATGCGACGAAACAAACTTATCGATAACTTGACATCTCTCGCTACATCACTAGGAGAACCGATTAAGTGCACTGCAGCAACAGTTAAGACGTTCACAGCAGGAAATTTATTTGCTGATATCTTGTCAGAATTCCCGACCATCGCAAAACTAGCGCCATACGGATCAAAAACGACGTCGACGGTGTTCCGTCGCATCGAGACAACGGGCCAACGAGTATTTTCGAGACCACGTCGGCTTTCGCCCGAGAAACTGGAAGCAGCTAAAGCGGAATTTGATTTTTTGTTGAAAACTGGAATCTGCCGTCCATCTAGAAGCAACTGGTCAAGCCCGCTTCACATGGTAAGAAAGAGTGATGGAACATGGAGACCATGCGGCGACTACAGGGCGCTCAACGCGCGTACGATTCCCGATCGATACCCGCTGCCGTATCTGACGGACTTTACAAATATTTTGCGAGGTAAGAAATTTTTTTCGAAAATAGACCTGCAAAAAGCATTTCACCAGGTACCAATCCATCCCGATGACGTTGCAAAAACGGCCATCACTACTCCCTTCGGATTATATGAATTCGAATTTATGACCTTCGGCTTGTGCAACGCTGCACAAACATTTCAGCGTCTTATAGACGAAGTCCTACGGGGACTTGATTTTGTATTTCCATACATTGATGACATCTGTGTAGCATCNCCCGATGACGTTGCAAAAACGGCCATAACTACTCCCTTCGGATTATATGAATTCGAATTTATGACCTTCGGCTTGTGCAACGCTGCACAAACATTTCAGCGTCTTATAGACGAAGTCCTACGGGGACTTGATTTTGTATTTCCATACATTGATGACATCTGTGTAGCATCCGACTCAATCGATCAACATCGGCAACATCTGCGTTTAGTATTTCAACGCCTATGTGAAAATAATCTCTCTATTAACTTTTCAAAATGTGAATTTGGCAAGGCGGAAATAAAATTTCTGGGCCATCTTGTTGATTCACAAGGCATTAGACCCTTGCCAGAAAAAGTATCGTCATTACTAGACTTTCCTAAGCCGACAGTGGCTAAAAATTTGAAACGCTTCATAGCCATGCTTAATTTCTACAGAAAATTTTTGCCCCATGCCGTCGACTGCCAAAAAGAACTACAAAAACTTATTACAGGCAATAAGAAAAACGACCTCACATTGCTTGTCTGGACACCAGAAGCAGAATCCGCTTTCCGACGTTGCAAGGAAGAGCTTGCAAACGCCACTTTACTGTTTCATCCATCCACGGATGCCGAATTATCTTTGCACATTGACGCCTCAGACTTCGAAGTCGGTGCTGCCCTACACCAAATTGTAGACGGTGGGTATCAGCCCCTTGCGTTCAATTCAAAAAAATTGACGCCACCTCAGTGTAATTACTCCACATACGATAGAGAGCTGACAGCCATGTATCAGGCAGTCGTACACTTCCGATACATGATAGAAGGAAGAAAATGCCACATTCTAACCGATCATCGCCCGTTAATATACGCGTTCGACCAAAAGCTCGAAAAGACCGCCCCCCGCAGAGCGCGACAGCTAGATTACATCGCGCAGTTTACGACTGATATTCGACATATATCGGGCGAAGCCAACATTGCAGCAGACCTATTTTCACGAATAGAGTCAGTTCATGACATCATCGACTACAAGAGCATAGCTTTGGCACAGCGAACCGACGAGGAACTCCAAAGTCTTTTGAAATCAGGTACAGATTCAAGAAACTCACTCATTCTTAAACAATTCATGCTTCCAGAGACTGACGTTCAGCTGATTTGCGATACTAGTACATCGCGTTTACGCCCCTATGTTCCAAAAAAATTCAGATCTCAAATACTTACGAAGATTCACGGCCTATCACATTCCGGCGCTCGTGGTACAATCAAATTAATAACTGCTCGATTTGTGTGGAAAGGCGTTAAAAAAGATGTCACCAACTTCGTGCGCAGTTGTGAAGCTTGTCAACGTTCGAAAGTTCAGCGGCATACGAAATCACCGCCTGAAAAATACGTTCTCACACAGGAACGATTTTCGCACATAAATATCGATATCGTTGGTCCATTTCCACTATGCGAAGGACAGCGGTATTGTCTTACGGTAATAGATCGCTACACCAGATGGCCGGAAGCTGTACCAATTCCGGATATGACTGCCGAAACCATCGCCAGGGCTTTGACCATGCATTGGATTTCCAGATTTGGTGTACCAGAACGCATTACATCAGATCGAGGTAGGCAATTCGAATCATCTGTTTTCAAGGAACTAATTTCTACGATTGGGGCCAACCACCTTCGTACTACTCCGTATCATCCACAATCCAATGGCATGATAGAACGTTGGCATAGAACACTCAAAGCTGCAATCCTCTGCCACAATCCTGAAAAATGGACATACTATCTCCCGTCAATCTTGCTCGGTCTAAGAGTTGCTTTTAAACGAGATATTGGTGTCTCGCCAGCAGAGCTCGTCTATGGAAAGTTTCGCGAAGCCATGGAAAAATTACGACCAACTGAAACTGCCTACCACTCGCCACCAACGACATTCGTTTCGCCTAAGCTACAAGCTTCAACGCACGTTTTCGTTAGAAATGATTCCATTCATCCTTCGCTGACACACCCTTACGATGGTCCTTACGCTATTACACGCAAGCGTGCAAAGTATTTTACAGTCATCATCAAAGGACGCCCTTGTAATATTAGCATCGACCGACTTAAGCCTGCCTTTTTAACAAACGACCTGGAGACGTCTACTTACCGTGAAGTTAGTCAGCCGGCGCAAGACACTTTCGAAAGTATCGCGAAGAAATCCACCCGCAGTGGCCGCCAGGTTAACATCCCTCAACGATACAGGTAGCTTTCGTCTGGAGGCGGAGTACTGTGGAGCACCCTGTGCAAACATTTTTACATTTATCACATTTTTGACATTCTCATTTATGATGTACCCATTTTTGATAAGCTTGCAGTTAGTTGAGCTGAACATTTTTATTCATTCGCTTTTTGTGCCTGCAAACCGTATATCGCGCGCTCATTTTTATATTGTAAAATTTGAAGACTAACCCTTTGAACATGATACAAATATTTTGAGATTCAATAAAAGGAACATCTTTTTATTTGCTGTAAGATCGTGTATTTAATAACGTTCGATTGGGTAAGAACCCCACGTTACACAGTAGCGAAGCAATAAAGCTACATATATGGCATAACCTGAAGTATTTGTAAGCAACGTGTATCCCAGCAAAGTATTGAAACTGAAGAAGGCCTTATATGGACTGAAGCAGTCAGGGCGTCAGTGGAATATGAGGTTGCATGACATCTTAATCGGTATTGGTGGCAATGCGTAACTGAACCATGCGTCTATACGAAACATAATGATGGAAAAATTAATTTAATAGCCGTATACGTGGATGACTTGCTTATTGCAAGCTCGAATAAGGCAGAGTTGAAGTTGATTAAAAACCAGTTTTCGGATCAATTGCAGATTGTAGACAAGGGTCCAGTTCAACTGTTCCTAAGCATGAAAGTTGAAAGAGAAGGTGAGAAAGGCGCAATATCGATATGCCAAAAGATACATATTAAGCAGTTGTTACAGCAACACAGCATGTTAGATTGTCGTCCGATAGCTACGCCACTTGATGCGAAACAACAAATAAATTGTGACGAACCTGCGTGTAAACGAGTTGACAAGCAAGAGTTTCAGTCACTCATAGGTTCGTTGTGGTATTTGGCTCTGTGCACTAGACCCGACATTATACACACAGTGTGCAAGCTCGCGCAGAAAAATAACGACCCTCATAGCGAACATTTGGCAGCTGCAAAAAGAGTGTTAAAGTATTTGCGTCTCACGACTGACATGGCGCTGCTTTACTCCAAGACAGGAAAAGCAATCGAATGTTATGCCGGTGCAGATTTGGGGGGGGGGGACTCATTTGAGCGAAAATCGTACACGGGTTATGCCTTTCTTCTAGCAGGCTGCGTAGTATCATGGGAATCAAAGAAGCAATCGACTGTGGCTTTAAGCAGCACAGAATCGGAGTATGTAGCTTTGTCAACTGCAGCGAAAGAAGTTATGTTTTTAAAACAGTTTTTATAAGAAGTCAATTTACATTGCACTGACATGATTGTAATAAATGGCGAAAATTTAAGCGCATTGCATCTAGTAAAATATCCTGTATACCATACTAGGTGTAAGCACATTGAAATTAAATATCATCATGTAAGAGATATGTATAAGAAAAACTTAATCGATTTAAATACTGTTCAAGTACAGGGAATATTGCAGATGTATTAACTAAACACTTAAACAAGTTGAATCATAAGAAGTTTGTAAAAATTTTAGGTTTAAAGTAATATGTATTTAAGAAAAATATCTAACAATTGCGAATTAATTTTATTATTCGAAGTCAACAATGAATACCAGATTTGAGGAGTGTTGAATTTATATTTTTTTGCCAAACCTGATTTTCATTCTACGGATACTTTTGATTCGTGAATTCATTTTATCTACCCTTTTTTCTTTTTCTTGTTACTCCATAGTCCAAGTCTGAATAAATCTTTTGCAGCGTTAACACGTGTTCGGTGTTTTTCTTCTATCGGACTTGCAAATTCTTACAATATATATATATATATTTCATGATCCAATGATCG